TGAAAGGCTGTTTACACTGATAGTAAATGCCTCCAGGTGATTTGCCTCTTTCAACCCATCAGCTTATAAATATGAGTTTACTTTCCTCTTTTGGTGTCAAGATATCAGCCATTATTTCTTGCTACTGTCAAATGGTACTGGGACCTCTCCCGCTATTCAATACATCGTTCTAATTTATTGCTTCTGTCCTACTGTGTATAAATAAGTCTGGTAACCAAATTTTGAAACAATAAATAACATTTACGTAGTCTCCTATTTCTTATAAAGCACTTCCAAAAACCATATCTCATGTTACCCTTGTAAAAACCATGAGAGATAAATAGACTAGACTGTTATTATAATGTTTACATGGGAAATAGGAAATTATTTCATACAATTGGTAAAGTGGTTGAGTTAGGACTTGAACTCAGATTTCCTAGTTTCATATTCTTAATTTTTTTTTCAAAAAGTAAAAAAATTCCTTAATTTCTTATTCCGGGTCCCATTGCCATAATTGACAGGGAAATATACCTGATGTAATGAAAAGCAAAAGAAAACAAGCCACAACTGATAAAAGACCTCAGGAATGTACATCTAATTGGCATTGTTGTTGTTGTTAAGTGCCATCAAGTCGATTCCAACCCATAACGACCCTGTATAGAGTTTCCAAGGAGCAGCTGGTGAGCTTGCATCCATCGATAGCTGCACTTTTTGCAAACTGTGGCGATGACAATCCTACAAAAAAGGATTTCCTTCTTATAAGCTGTAGTGACGTTTCTGAGTGTGGATCATTGTTCCTTCTGTGGCAGATTTTTACAGTTCCTCTAATGCATTTGGGACGACTGTCTCAAAGTAACCTGCTGTTTTCCTAACAACTCCTTAGTCTCTCTTCTGCTAAGAATTGTAGCCCCTTTCTGCTGAATTTTTAGAATCTTCTGCTACCGTGTCCACCACTTTCACCACCAGCTCCATAACCACTACCATAAGGACTGCCTGAGCTTCTTCCACCAAAACTGCCCTTGTCAAGGGTCCATAATTTAATTGCTGTTGTCCACTATAATTTCCAAAATCATTACAGTTCCTACCACCACCATAGTTCCCACCACCACAATTTCCTCCTTCATTGTAACCATCATAACCTCCACCACCACCACCATATCCACCACCTTGGTTTGCATATCCTGGTCCACCACCACCACAGCCCCCTCTACTACTATAACCAGGACCACCTCCATAGTTGCCACCTCCAAATCCATTCACCATCACCTCCTCTGTAACTACCTCTGCTGTCACCACCTCCATCATTACAGCCTTATCTTCCAGCAAAGTTTCCACCACGGCCAAAGGTCCATCTACTACCTCTAAAGTTTCCTCCATGACCCATAAAGTTATCAGATCCACCTCCACGATCTCTCTGTGATTCAAAAGACTGCATCTCTTACTTAGAAAGGGCCTTTTTCACTTTACAATTATGCCCATTAATAGTGTGGTATTTCTGAACAACAATTTTATCAACTGTATCATGATCATCAACAGTTATAAAAGCATTCTCCCATGTAAACTATCACATAATTCACAATAAAACATTAAAAAAAAAAAAGCAAATCCTCTTTTTTTCCCATTTTGCCTGTCTTCTATAACTTCTATGGTTTCAATCTTGTACACTTATCAAAGTAGTGTCTCAAGCTTTATTTTTCTGTGTCTCCTTTAATGCCATCAACAAAAATATTCTTCACTGTTAGATGGGCACCAGGCTTCACAGAATCCTATCTAGAAGCAGCTCTCTTCGGTTCCACTTGTTGTTTTTAAGTGCTGTCGAGTCGATTCTGACCCATAGCGACCCTGTATAGGGTTTCCAAGGAGCAGCTGGTGAGCTTGAACCACAGACTTTGCAGTTCAAATGATTTTGCAGTCTGACGCATTAGTCCACAGCACCACACCAGGACTCCACTACACGCCCATTAACCTTGTGTGGCCGGGTGCACATTGTTGCCTCCACCTTTGACACAGGAGTAAGATACAAAACCAAAAAGCACCTGAAACGTTTTGTCTGGGGAATCTCTCATCACCACACAATCTGTGAGTGTGCCCCCTTTCTCAAAATGTTCTCTTAAACTATCATCTGTCGCTTCAAAGCTCAAACCACCAATAAACAGTTTTTGTAACTGTTCTGGTTCCTTTGGATAATACCCCTCCATTTTGAGCCCGACTGGTCTCTTCTAACTTAAGTTCAATATGAGAGCTAGAATAGTTTCAAATTCTTCAAATAACTACCAAATAATTTTTGTATCAAAGAGAAGAAAATAAGGTTTTTTAAAGTGACTAAGGAGCTCTTCTGTAAATAAAGTGACTATGTGTTGGTGCCTGAGGTCCGTGCCATTATATCTTGTTATTAAGATGTTATTCTTTGCTAATTTATTCTCAACAAGCACCTCTGAATACTAATTTGGCACTTCCAAATTAATAGCGTAGTGGTTACAAATCAGGCTGCTAACCTCGAGGTCGGCAGTTTGAAACTACCAGCTGTTCTGTGGGAGAAAGATGAGGCTTTCTGCTCCCGTAAAGATATGCAGCCTCGGAAACCCTGTGCAGGGTCACTATGAGTCGGAACCGACTCCACGGTACTTAACAACAACAACAATAGGAAAAGTCTACATGAGTATGATATTACTGTACAGATGTTATATGCTGTTTAAAATGCAGCTCGCTCTCCATTTTTATAGATACAAGTACAAGGAAGTCATTTATAAGCACATTTATTTGTATTAAAATTGACAACTGTTAACTTTTGTCTACTGATGTTTCTCAAGCACAAAAATAGCATCTTGCTCAAACTAAGAACTGAAAGACTTTGTTGAATAAGTGAATGTATAACCACAAAGTTGAAAATCCAAAAGATTAAAACTCTAAGATAAAGATTAATAAGAAACTAAAAATCTAGGTCCTATGGTTCACAATTTTAAGGGTTCCTAATTGAACTGCCAAGGAGCTCTGGTAGCGTAGTGGTTACAAATCGGGCTGTGAGCCACAAGATCAGCAGTTCGAAACTACCAGCTGTTCCGCGGGAGAAAGATGAGGCTTTCTGCTCCCATAAAGATTTACAGCCTCGGAAACCCTGTGCAGGGTCACTATGAGTCAGAACTGACTCCACTGCACATAACAACAACAACAACAACAACAAATGAACTGCAAGGTCGGCAGTTCAATCTCCCAAATCACTCCTCAGAAACCCTAGACAGGGTCGCTATGGGTCAGAATCAACTCGACAGCACTTAACAACAACAACAATGGGAATAAAGACAGTTAACAGCATCATGTTTTTTAAAAGCAGATATACATTTTAAGAGATATGGGAGGTCAATCTTAGAATAAAAACCAGGATGCTGAGATGTCCTGGAACCATGTTGCATGTGGAAGTGCAAATGGATTTAGATACGTTTGATCTAAAAACGAGAAGATGTCTCCTTTCAAAAATTTGAGACTTGGGACATAGTCAAGTGGAAAAGAAACTAAAAGGACTTATTCTCTGTATATCTAGAGGCTAGAAATTAGAGCTACCAGGCAACAGATGAGCAGCCTTGGGAGGGAGTTTGGAGGTAGGAAATGTATACTAATTTGTCACTTCCTTTGTACTAGGAACTTTACATGATGGTGGTGGTGTGTCATTAAGTCAGTTCCAACTCATAGCAATCCTGTAGAGGCTTTCTGAGGCTATGAATCTTTGTGGGAGCAGAAAGTCTCATCCTATTCCCCAGGAGTGACTGGTAGATTCAATCTACTGACCTATGGTTAGCAGCCCAGTTCATAATTTGATATGCTACCAAGCAAGGTTCCTTAGGCATTTTACATGGTGGTGGTGGTGGTGTGCTGTTGAGTTGGTCCCAACGACCTTATATAGGGTTTCTGAGGTTGTAAATCTTTATGGGAACAGAAAACCTCATCTTTCTCCTATGGGACCGCTGGGTAGTTTCAAACTGCTGACCTTGAGGTTAACAGCCCTACTTGTAACAGCTATGCTACCAGAGCTCCTTGGCATTTTACAAAGGACTTGTAAATTATGTATTTACATATTTATATTGGAAATAAGGAAACTGAGGCTCAGGAAGCAAAAGTAAGTTGTCCAAGTAAATGTTTAATTAATAAGCCACGTCATAGTGGATACTGCACCTGTTCATTTATCAATCACTGCTGCATCCATGCAAGAAACAGTGGGCATCTATCTGTACCTCATCTACAACTCTCATATCAGAAAATGGAGTGAATGAATGAAGTTTCCAAAGATGCTCTTAAAGGTGTTTGGAAGATGTATCTGCTTTGGGTTATTTCTGCTCCCAGCATCAACCTTCCATTAAAGGATAACTCTGTTAGTCTGAAAATGATATAGCCAGTGATGCTGCCTATAGAAGAACTGAAGAGAAATACTGTGTTTACTGGAGTCCCAAGGACTGAAGGTGACTCCCTAACCTAATGCTTGGCAGCTATAGTTTCCTGCCTCATCAGACTCTAAGACACTCCCCTGGGATCTCATTCTCCATTTAGAAGAGCCCTGAGCTAATCTTATTGCTATTAAGTACCGTCGAGTCGATTCTGACCCACAGCGACCCTATATAGAGTAGCTGGTGAGCTTGAACTGCCGACCTTGCAGTTCAAATGGCTTTACAGTCTGGCGCGTTAACCCTCAGTGCTACAACAGGACTCCTGAGCTAATACCACGGTCAATTTATATTAGTGCTGATATGAAATATTATAGCCAGCCATGCTTCTCCATGTTCTATTAAACAGGTCATAGGGAAGGATGTGCTAATATCACTATCTTTTAAAAAATATCTTTGCAGTAACAGCAACAGTAAAAGAAGTAAAAGACGAGTTCATCTCAGAGCAAGCCATCATTCCACTAAGAAAGCAGAAAAATTCTTAAAGCCAGTATTACGTGCATCTTGCTTAATACTGCTCTCTGATTAAAGAGAACTTCATCTCTCCCATACATCTTTCACAGGCAATTTATCTGTCTGCTTGTTTACCTCCTTCAAATCTTGCACAATGGCTGTAAGTCGCTCATTTTCTGCTTGTATGTTAGTGACCACAGCCCGGCTCTGTTTCAGTTCATTCTGCATCTCCAAGATCTTCCCCAGGTAGTAAGCTTCCTTAGACGCTGATTCCTGCAGAAGCGTTTCCTCCCGAGTCTCCCCATCCTCAGCAACTTTACGGTGGATGGAGAAAGACTGCCCGAATGCCTGCAGAATATTGGAAAAGAAAAAGGATACAATGAAATGTACATACCTCTATTAAACAGATATGGAGAAATGTCTTGTTTTGCATTATTCATTAAAAAATGGTATTTTGTAAGAATTCCAGAAGCAACCATATATATTTTACATAAACAGATCTGCAGCTTTAGTTGTTACTTGAAATAATGCAAGTTCAAACAATAGATGGAAAGAAACTTTTATTAAAACACCTTGTTTTTAAAAAGAAGGAAACACACAATGAATTAAATAAAACTTGAAAAATATTGCTGCTGGCTTTTTATGTCATCCTTTTAAAGACAAATGCAATTCAGAAATAGATAGTTCAGTGCTAATGAGCCCTTCCAAAGTTATGGTGTCATCTTCAGTCTAGAAAAGAAAATCCTAAAATTATTTCTCAAGGAAAAAAAAGTTTCATTTAGCTTTCTATTATATTAGCTGTAAGGATAGACCAATTATGAACAGTACAGTTCCTTCACATATAAAATCACCAAAGAGCATTTAAATTGCCTGGTTCTATAAAAAGGCATTTAAATGTACTCTCTGCTTAAGAAAGCATATAATTATCTGCTCATTTGTACAAAAAGAAATATAGGAAGGATAATCAGAAATTAATGAAATTGTTTACTTACAGGAGGTAGGTGGGAATAGGGTGAAAGCATGGGAATGACAAGGACTAGAGACAGGATGAAGGAGTAACACTTCTGTCGGTATTTATGCCTGCTCACACAGGTATTTCTGATTTCCAGAACCACAGTAATATTGCACATCCCTCACCACCCCTTCAAATAATCATTAAAACCAATAACTATGTACGTGGGGGACTCTAAAGAGAATTGTTTAAGTGTCAGCAAGTCAGTTCTGACTCATAGTGACCCTGCTTATCCTAGGGTCACCACACTCCCCAAATTGTGTGACAGATCTATTTATAACACCAACAAGAAGGGCACCTGCTGAGGCTGCTTTAGGACAACCAAACCTTAAACCAAAAATAGCCCCCGAAGTCTTCTTAAAACCTAACAGTAGTTTTGCTTAACTAATAAATAATAACTGTCTTGAGCACTGTGCTTTTTCAAGAACTATCTACATGGAATCTAACAGACAACAGCCATCCTGAAAGATTAGATAAGAACCTTAGGGGACAGGGAGTTTTTGTTAATGGTGGAGGAACAACTCGGAAAAGGAGGATAGAATGGTTGCAAAACTCAAAGACCATAATCTCAAAGAATGCAATCATTATCATTGAATTATAACTGTGGAATTGGTATACACTATGCTGTATATATTCTAAACAACCACAAAATAAGTTATAATAGAAGTTGCAAACACAAAAATCTTTATGAATCTTCATTCATATTTATTGCAGCTCAGAAACCTTAACTGAACATGTGGGTTTCCAAAATTGCTATTTTTATGAAGAACTTAACCCTCTACTGAGTTTGATCTAAGAAACAATGAACGTATATAAGGTCACCCTCATATTAAGGACATTAACCATAATGTTTTTGGTTTTCAGATGAAAATTCATTTCATTTCATTGATTGTGGAAATTTAAATAGTTTATCAAGTAAGAAAAATTAATTACTAAAAGATCCTACTGTAATTCTGCAAACACAGATAAAAGTTACATTGTTATTGTCAAGTGCTGAAGAGTCAGTTCTGAGGCCAGTGGGTTTGGTTTTAGCTTCCTTATAAATTTGACAGTACCATCACTAAGTATTTCACATGGAAAGGCAGGATATCAATGATAATGCTTTTCTTTTTATTTCTTAAAATAACAAAATGACACCAATCCTGAGCAGGCTAATGATACCCCATAATCTGTCATTTCAAATCTAGTGAAAACTATCACTAATCAGAAAACATCTATTTTTCAGAAGGAGACAATACTCCTAGTTTAACTAATTCCTAACTGTCAGAAACTAGAATTGGATATGACAGCCAACTGACATCTAACATTTGGCTGACTGCTAAAGGGGACTTACTACACCAGTCTGTCTCTGCCAGGTACATTTTCCCTCCATCATCATTCCAAGTACATCCTGACAAAGTTGGATCCAATAGAAGATGAAGAAAACAAACAACAGAATATTTCAGGGCTATTGAAGCTTTATCCTTGACTGGAACTATAAAGCTAGTTTCAATGTCTATTTATAGGCAAATGCAGGGTTGTCGTGCTTCTAGGTATATTTTGTCAGACAGCAAATTTCTTCTGGGCACTGCAATCATTTCATGGGAAATTTCTATTTGAAATTAACTGAGGTAAACTGAAGTTCTAGACTTGTATTTTTCTTATTTGACATTGAGGTAAAATGATATCTTGATACACTTTGAAAGCTTATTATGATTTCTCATCTCACAAATAACTATAATTGCATAGTATTACTTTTATTAAATTCCATCTCAGTGTTCCACAGCTGCTTTAAATTACATACCAATTTAAGTGTAATTAGCTACATAAAAAGTACTTTACTTTCCCTCCCTACTCACATGACTTCTTAGTCCAAAGAAAATACTAGGTTTGACATTTCATACCTTCCTGTTCAGGACAATATGTTAGTTGTTAAACATCATTCTCATGTTCATTATCCTTCATAATATGAAAAATAAGAAATAAATGCTTGGCTAATATATTTAAGATTGCTAAAATATGTATCCTTGGATACAGAATATTCATTTTTTCATCTTTAAAACTATGGCAGAAAAGTTTACAAGGAGATTAAACAAGTTTTTTATTTGAAACTGCAAAACAATGCCAATAATATTTTATTTATCCATTCGTTTGTTCATTCAACTAGTATTTACAGAGAGCTTATGTACTTCTTTAGGCAGGAAGGATTCCAATTTCTAGAAATAGAAACCTGTGCCATTCAGAAAGTCTAAATCTATGGTGATTTATCAACATGGATAGAGATTGTAAAAATGGTGGCATATTGTGGCATATTTAACCAATGGCATTATGCATATGTATATCTGGTGTGTATACTGCCACACACACAAATCCCTGCCCTCCTGGAGTACACACTCAAGTGTGATGTCAATAAATAAATCATTAAATGTGTGGTATAATGTTGAGAAGGTTTTATAAAGAAAATGAACGCTAGGATAAGAGCATTTGTTATTGTTAAGTGCCATTGAATCGGTTTGGACTCATAACAACCCTGTATAGGGTTCCCAAGGAGTGGCTAGTGGGTTCAAACCACCGATCTTGTGGTTCAAACTGACCTTGCAGTTCAGTGCATTACCCTGCACCATTGCACCAGGACTTCAGGATAAGAGACTAGAACAGTCCAATAGAGCCTGCTGCAATGCTGTATCTGTACTGGGTAATACTAGTCATGTACTGCCCAGCAACACATCGAGCACTTGAAATGTGGCTACTATACTAGTTTCCTAGACCTGTTGTTATAAATAAAGTACCATAAACAGGCAACTGGCTTGTCATCAAAACCCATCCTTCCCAATGAATTTGTTTACCCTCTTTAAATATATCACAATTATTTGACCAAGTATATTTCTCTATTACCTCAGCTGCCAGGAAATTCAGCACTAAATGCTCTATAGCAATACACAAAGTACCTTACGTTTTTGGTAGAACCTTTTCCCATTTCTTCTAACGGGAGCCCGGATGGTATAGTGGTTTATGTGTTGGGTTGCTACCCACTAGGTGAGCTGTTGGACTTCACCAGCGGGATTCCACCACCATAAAGATTTATTGTCTCAAAACCCTACATAGAGTCACTGTGAGTTGGAATCGACATGATGACAGTGTTTTGTTTGCTTGTATTTCCTGTATACTGTAATGAAATTTGAGAATATTTACCCAATTGTACATGCTTCTTCCCTTTTATCTACCTCAAATACTTTTGGAGTAGAAAAGATATGAATTATAGTCCCATAAAATAGATTAAATGGTGTTTAGTTACCGATTATTTTACATTAAGTCTTAGTGAAAGTCCATGTTGAAAAATGACATTTAAGAGTCTAAGAAGACTGACAAAATACTTCATTTCCATTGTGTGGAAAACAGTAAGTAAAGGATCTCATAAAGTGCAAACAAAAACTAGCTACATTTCTTAGAGACCTTTGGCTGGCACAAATAGTTAAATGTTCTTCTACTAGTGAAAAGGTTGGTAGTTCAAACCTAGTGAAAGGCTCCTTGAAAGACAAGCCTGGGGATCTGCTTCTGAAAGGTCACTGCCAAAGAAAGTCCTATGGAGAGATTCTACTCTGAACACCTGGATCACAAAGAGTCAGAACTGAATCAACAGCAACAAACAAAAAATGGTTACAACTGTCTAAGAACCATTTTCTAAAACCCTACATTTCAGCAACAAAAAACTTTAGAGAATATGATCCAATTAGAAAAGAAGGGCTCACTGGACGTGAGGCAACCCAAAAGTACACAATTCAAGGTAATCCATTCCTAAAACCTTCTTGACTTCTAGAATCAAGCCTGATCCTTAAAGGGCAGATGTAGAACTGCAAGATTGGTGGTTCAAATCCACCAGCTGCTCCTTGGAACCCCTATACAGGGTCACTATGAGTCAGCACTGACTAGACGACACTTAACAACTCATAAGTTGTTAACAGAACATAAAGTTAACAGAAGAGGTTAAGAGCATAGGCTCCAAAACTCAACCAGCTGCTACTAACTACATGACATTAAGCAAGTTACTTAATATTCTGAGCCTCAGTTTTCTCATCTATAAAATGGAGTGATAGTTTCTACCTCATAGTGTTATTGTTAGGCTTAAAAGAATAACAAAAATCTATGTTATCATTTGGAACAGTTCTTGCTTATTGATCCAGTTGTGAGAACTTTTGCTTTTCTGTGTGTTGAGGTATAATGCATATTGAGGCTGTATTCTTTGGTCTTTAGTGTTTTTAATTCTCTTCACTTTCAGCAAGCAAGGTTGTGTCATCTGCATATTGCAGGTTGTTAATGAGTTTTACTCCAATCCTGATGCTGCATTATTTAAAATCAG